AAAAAAAAAAAAAAAAAAAATGCAGATCTCTACATCTTCGCTCATGGATGACATCATCAGGCATTCGGATCCTGAGTGTTTGAGCCTGTGCCCAAATGAAATTCTACTGCTTGTGATCATAACACACCCTTATTTTTCAAAAAGAAAAAAAACGAAAGCACTGAGAATCAGAAGGGACCTTGGAAAGAATGTGCAGCAGGAAAAAGATGTCAGGCTTTACAGTCAGCAGTTTGGTTCTTCTAGTAAGTAGCGCTGTAGCCGTAGAAGGTGACTTTTATCTCCCTAGTCTCCCCTATACAGCGAAAGCAATTCGCTCTAGTTCTAAGTTCCCAGCTAGCTGGGTGCAGCAAGAAGTGATAAGCAGCAAGGGAACTAAAGGGAACCAAACCCTTCTGGCAATAGGTGCCAGTCACGTGACAAACACAAGTTAAACAGCAACAGCGGCAGCCTCTATTGTTGACCCCTGGTCATGTGCCAAGAGTGAACCAGGAGCTTCAATACATTATCTTACTTACTCTTCCCAGATGAATGCCCTGATGGGGTAGGAAGTATCATCTCAGTTGTTCAGAAGAGAGATCAGGGAGTCAGAGAGGTTCTGTTGTGTGCCTGAGGTCACACAGCTAACAAGCAGCAGAGCCGGGACTAGGAAGAAGAGTGGAAGAAATGGCCAGACCTTGCTCTAAGCCCAAGTACGTACAAAACAACACATTTCGGAAGGACTGGAAGAGAAGTAGAGACAGATCCTCCCACTATGACCTCCTGAAAAGCCAGGGTGAGGGCTCCTTAGCCTCTGTGAACTCAGAATCTGGGACAATTCCTGGAATACAGCAAGCGCTCAGTAGACGCACGTAGGTTATAATTAACTGGAACGCAACTGGCAGTGTGGGTAATAAGGAATCACATTCTCCCAAAGCCAAGTCTTGGTGATGACAGTAAGTAGCAAAGGCAGAGAATTAGTGAGCACATTCATGAAGAAAGCCATCAGTTACAGACTAAAAACACCTTTATGTATCTCCTGTCTAATAATGACTGCTATGTTCACGGAGCTTTGCCACCAGTACATCATCCTATAAATATTCCAATCGCCGAGTCTTGGCATTACCTTGAAATGTAAAGGACAGGGGCGCCTGGGTGGCTCAGTCGGTTGAGCGTCCGACTTCGGCTCAGGTCACGATCTCACGGCTCGTGAGTCCGAGCCCCGCGTCGGACTCTGTGCTGACAGCTCGGAGCCTGCAGCCTGCTTCAGATTGTGTCTCGTCTCTCCCTGCCCCTCCCCCGCTCATGCTCTGTGTCTCTCTCTCTCTCTCTCTCTCTCTCAAAAATAAACATTAAAAAAAAAATTTTTTTTTAATGTAAACGACAATGAAGGGGATATGTGCACAAACACACACACACACACACACACACACACACACACGTGTATCTGTATTTTGGGACGGCTTAAAAACACTCTATTATACATGCTATATGGCAAATATCTACATAAAAGTTGTAAAAGTGAATCAAAAGCTCAATTTTCTTCTTTGTTTTAATTCAGTAGGCTCCATGTCTGACGTGGGGCTCGAACCCACGACCTTGAGATCAAGAGTCGCACGCTCTGCCGAATGAGCCAGCCCGGCCCCCCAGCTTAGTTTTCCTTTATTCAGTTGATATCTACAAACTGAAGTCAGGGCAGAATAAATTCACAGTCTTGTTAGATACGTGCAGCCACATTTATACAAGTGGAGCGTCAGTAATTTGATAGCTTGTTCTTTTGGGGGGCAGAATGAAAACAAAGAGAATGTTGGTCTAACAGAATTCTCAAAGAAAATATCACCGTGGTCAAACCAAAATTCCCCACAGCAACAGCCGACATACGGACCGCCACATCCAGTGACTAAATTGTGTTTACGCTTTTCTTAAGCAATCGAGTTCATTCTGACCATTTATCTACGAAGCCTTGTGCCAGAATACTGCCTATTCATTTTCTATATTCTGTTTGGCAAACAGAGCATGACACACAGCAATACAGAAGAAAAATATAATCCCGGGATGCGTTTGCAATCATCGCAGGGAAGTGTTCTAAATGGTCTTGGGCCTGTGGCACCGGCTTTCTGAACCACATTTCAACACTGCCACATGCTGTTCATCTCTGTGTCCTGCAGTCTGTGAGTGCCACGAGTGGCCTCAGTTCAAGGATGAGTCACAGCCCACGTTTACAACGCTGTTAACTCTTCGAAGCACCAACCGGTCTTGGAAAAGCGAAGCGTAACAACCTTAAGAATTAGCAATTTTTTTTTTTTTAATGTTTGTTTATTTTTGAGAGAAAGAGATGGAGCGCGTGCAAACGGGGCAGGGCAGAGAGAACGGGACAAGGGATCCGAAGCAGGCCCTGCGTTGACAGCAGACCGTCCAATGTGGGGCTCGAACTCGCGAACTGCGAGATCATGACCTGAGCTGAAGTTGGACACTCAACCGACTGAGCCACCCAGGCGCCCCAAGAATTAGTAATTCTTCAAGAATTAATAATTCTTCAAGAATTAATAATTTCTAATCAAGATTCTGTGAAACATCATATGTGGAATTTAAGAAACACAACAGATGAGATAGGGGAAGGGAAGGAAAAATAAGGTAAAAACAGAGAGGGAGACAAACCATTAGAGGCTCTTAAATACAGAGAACAAACTGAGGGTTGCTGGAGGGGCGGTGGGTGGGGTGGGGGGATGGGCTAGATGGGTGATGGGCATGAAGGAGGGCACTTGCTGGGAGGAGCACTGGGTGTCATATGTAGGTGACGAATCAGTAAATTCTATCCCTGGAATCCTTATTACACTCTATGTTAACTAACTTGGATTTAGGTTTTAAAAAATTTTTTAAATGAAAGAAAAAATAAATGAAAAAAAGATTCTGTGAAACATACTATCGTATTCATGATAAAGCGGGTCTCTATGAGCACATTGTTTGCCTGTGAGAAGAGCAGAGAATCCACCAGGAAGATGTGATATACAATGCATTGAATTTACTAATGTGTTTGAATTTATTTTATAAATTTCATAACATTCTCTCTTGATCAATGCAGATTCTATGTGGTACCCCATAGGCACCCTTTTACATACTCTAAGGAAAAAGATATTAAAGGCAGTGCAATACCCAGGTACCTGTAGTGTGCTTCAGGAAAGGAGTCGTGTTATATGCAGTTTTGTTCTTTTGTGACTGATAACAGAGAAGCTGAGAAAATCCTTGTGCAATGAATATGTGGATGAATGAATAGGCACGGTTCGGAATTTCAGATATTTCTAGAGAATGATGACCACGTCCTCAAAGAAACTACCATGTGCCTCTAGTTTCCTTTTTAAAGAAAAGAACCTATGTAGAAAAAGATCCAAAACTACTTGTCATTTTTACATGTTCTTCCCATATCCGGCAGCAGCTTCAACCAAAGCAAAGGTTTCCCTGAGTGAACAAATCAACCACAAAAGGGCTTCCGCAGGCTCTCACCTCCCAAGACATGCCCTCGCTCCACCTGTGCCCTGCTGCCCTGTCTCCCCTGCTGTTCAACTGGGGGGGGGGGGACATTCCAGCTGCCACTGAAGGCCCCAACCTCTGTCTCCTACTCAGGACCCCGGGTTGTTTCTACAACACAAGATTCTGTCCGATCTGGTGCTACACCACCAAGTCTCCCCTTCCTACTAGATTCGTCCCATCAGCATACAGACGCGTTATAACATATCCCATCTTAAAAACACAAAACAAGGCCATTCTCAGTAGGGATGATATCACCCTTAATGGGCAAAAACTGACTCTTGCGGGGTGGAAAATTCTTGCTCTTTTTATGTAGAAAGCATATATATACACATACATACATATATATTATTCACATACATATAATATGTAACAAATGTAAACCATATCAGTGACACCAGAATTTCATTAGGGTGCGGGAAGAACAATTAGAAAAAAATGTCTAAAAAAGCTCCTTAGGGAAGGGATCATGAAAAAACCGATTGACAAACGTGGGTCTGAACCAACAATCTCGATGTCTTCTCTTCCTGTTTTTTCTCAAGCCTTCTGCAATCTGTTTTCCGCTCCCACTACCCCACAGAAACTATCGTCCATGTCACCCATGCCCGCCATATTCCCAAATCCAACGGCCAATTCTTACGTGAGACTATACGCAGCATACGGCATAGCTGACCACTTCCTCTTTCTTCCAACACGTCCTTGGCATTTTCTCCCTAACTACCTGAACCCTTGAGATCCGGTATCAGGAAGAGGACTGATGCAAAAGGTTAGGGATTCTTGTACATTTGGATTTCAATCACTCTTGGACACACCGCCAGCCAGCACAGCTATCGCCCAAGCCCTGCCTTTCTGGCCTGTATGTCTACAGTCTCCGTCCGTCTGGCAGTTCAGTCCTCTGACAGTCTAACTTCCACACAGCAGCAGAACACCTCCATAACCTAAGTCCGATCACGTCATTCCTTCCACGGCGTTCCATCTCTCGCGGAGTAAAAGCCAAGGTCTTTATCACAGCACAAAGCCACACACAGCTAGGCCCTGCGTCCTCTCTGCCCTCGTCCTCCACCGCGGCCCCTCCTTGGGACCGTATGCCAGCTACACTGGCCTCCCTGAGAAACTGCTGCTTCTGCTTGGAGATCCCTCCAGACATCGTCATGGCTCACGCTTTCACTACCTTCAGGTCTCTGCTGCTCAAGCTCACTCGTCACAGAGCAGTTCACACTGCATGCAGAAGTACGCCTTGTCATTTTTTGGGGCGCCTGGGTGGCGCAGTCGGTTAAGCGTCCGACTTCAGCCAGGTCACGATCTCGCGGTCCGTGAGTTCGAGCCCCGCATCGGGCTCTGGGCTGATGGCTCAGAGCCTGGAGCCTGTTTCCGATTCTGTGTCTCCCTCTCTCTCTGCTCCTCCCCCGTTCATGCTCTGTCTCTCTCTGTCCCAAAAATAAATAAACGTTGAAAAAAAAAAAATTAAAAAAAAAAAAAGAAGTACGCCTTGTCACTTTTTATCTCCCTATCCTGTTCCATTTTCTTTCCCAGCACTATTACCTCACCTAGATATTGCCTTATTTCCCTCCTCCTCCAGGAATAGAATATTAGAGGATATTACGTCTCCTTCCCCAAAATAAGAGCTCCTTGGGGGCTTTTATTGTTTGGTTCACTGCTCTACTTGAAGTGTCCAGAACGGTTTCTTACTGTATGTTGGTATCATGAAAAATCCGATTTCAACATCTAAATAGAAGACTACAGCTGCCATAGTTTAAAAATAAAACTGGATTTGAACTTTCCTTCTTGAAATAAAATCTCATCATCTAATAGGCCTGTAGCAAATAAAACTATAAGATACAAAAAAAAATGTCTAATAACTCACAGAAATGGAAAGCAAACTCTGCTTTGGCTAGAGTGGTTTTCTTTGGCTACTATTTCATGGAAGAAATTTTAGGAGACGCCAACATTCAAATAGCTTCCTCAAAGCAACAGAAACTTCTACACTGGTAAACACAAAACGCTCTTTTAGATTATCGCTCTCATTCTTTTCTAGAGCAAACATTCAAGTCAGAATGGGAAAGCGTCAGACTCTAGTAACAGCACTTGGGAAGAATGAGGGGGGACGCACGTATCCGGTCAGCGCAGAGCCCTGTCTTACCAATCCGACACAATGGAATGAGAAACTTTTTATATGAGATCCTTTTGTGACAAAGGAAAACAAGTTGGGGGGACAGCGTATCCACTGCAGAATGCTGGTATTCCTTTAGCCCTCCCTGCCTCTCTTTTGATCTCAATGTTTACAATTCCTTACTTCAAAATTAGTAGCTGAAGGTGGTAATACTTTCTTCTTTGTGTTTAGCACGTTTTATCCGAACCTTCCGAGATTTCCGCTAGAAAGCTAAAAATCTCAGCCCTCAAATTTCTTCTCTTTCAAATGCCTTTGTCAGCGCAGAAGGGAAACGGTTTAGTTCCATTCACTTGGTGACCGAGTCGGTGATAACGATGTAATTCGATAAACTATAGCTCTTTCCTCTTTCATCTCACCCCACATCTAGTTTTGACGTTTCTTTTTAAAGCCTTTCTGTTTTCGAAGAACTCTGAATGGAAAATAGAGTTCCGAGTCCTGAAGGAAGTGCACAGTCAGTAAGGCAGCATTAAGTAGGGATCTTTTCTTCTGCCAGAGCAGCAACCTGGTGGCCTCGTTTGCAACATCACACCGCTATTGACAGCATGTGGACGAGAACACAAAGGCCACAACACTAACATCGTTGACATCTTTATATCAAGCATGGGGAGATCACACACACCTGTGCTGGGGAAAGGGACAAGAAGGTAACCAGCCTGAATCACCAGCGCCTGGAGGAGACTGGATTCCAGATTGGCCACCCCACAGCTATGTGACCTCAGACAGGTTCACTTGGCATCTCGGAGTCTCACTTTCCTCTTCCATAAAGTGGAGGTTAAATACTCACGAGGCAGGGGTGCCTGGGTGGCTCAGTGAGTTAAGTGTCCAGCTCTTGATTTCGGCTCAGTTCAAGATCTCACGGTTCATGAGTTTGAGCCCCGCATCGGGCTCTGTGCTGCCAGTGTGGAGCCTGCTTGGGATTCTCTGTCTCCCTCTCTCTCTGTGCCCCTC